TGATGATGATGATGATGGTGATGGTGATGATGGTGATGGTGATGGTGATGGTGATGGTGATGGTGATGATGATGATGATGATGATGATGGTGATGATGGTGATGGTGATGATGATGATGATGATGATGATGATGGTGATGGTGAAGGTGATGATGGTGATGGTGATGATGGTGATGGTGATGGTGATGGTGATGATGGTGATGGTGATGATGATGATGATGATGATGATGGTGATAATGATGATGATGATGATGATAGGAATAATGATGATGTTGATAGTGTTGATGATAACGATAATGATGATGTTGATGATAATGATGATGATGATGATGTTAGGGATAATGATGATGTTGATGATGATGATAACGATAATGATTTTAATGATGATGATAGTGATAAAAGATGAAGATCACGATGGTGATGATGATCATGGTGATAGCCATTGTCTAATATTGATATTTCGATAGTGATGTTGATATCATATATTATGCTAATTATGATGATAATGATGACTATAATTATAATCATATTCCCCTAGTTACCATCCTTGACATCCACTAATCAGTCCACCAACATCCCAAACCAGTGCCACTTCCAGCCCCGGTAACCTCTGGTCAAGTCAGCCACGTGGGTTGGCCATGACTCACAGACCCTTACGCCTTGAATTRGGCAAAAATAACGAAATTCGATACGTGTAGATAGAATATATAATTATTACTAATAACAATCCAATCATAGAATGAATGTGTCTTATATAGTCTCCAAAACGTCACGCAACGCTATTGGTGTCGTTGCGTGACAATACTCATGGTGGCTCCTTATATCTTTTACCATTTGGAAAATGTTTAGATAATTAAAATTGAAACTACCATTCACACCAATGCGGGTCAATAACTGGCCATGGGGATTTAGAACAGAATATGAAGAATCTTTATCAAAGAAATAAGATAGTAGTTTTATATTTGTAAATATAAATTTTTTTGAACAATTTCTGAGGCAGAAAATCTTTCCTTTCTCTCGAAAACAAAAGTTTTTAACGAGTGGAAGGCGTAACGTTTTGTGTGAGGAAATCGATTGGGCTACCTGTGTGTAAGGTTCACTCATGCAATAGTTTGTATTTGTAGTGATATGTAATATTATATAATAGTCATAAAAGTCTATAAAGTTTTTTTTTTCTAAAACCCGAAAATATCAAGTTTTTTTAGTGAATTAAAAAGTTTTTATCGTTGTCTTTCGAGTCGTTAGACCTTTGTGTTTAGAGCGAGATGGCAGACGTCATCATTCTCTCATGGTTTTCAGATATTAACGGAACATCTTGAGGCATGCATGCTTTAGAAGATCATTTATGGTTGAGTTTTGAGGGCGTTTTTAAAACTCTTATCTTTCATGGAGGGGGGCGACTAGATTTTACTTTGGACGAAACATAATTAGAGGAAAGAGTATCTCTTAACAAGGTGCAAGGTCTACCATGAATGATTTTTATGTACATCCAACAATCACTCCCTGTAAAGCATGCTTCCATGGGGTTCACACCTCCACTACATTCACAATTTACGGCACACAACACTCAACTAACATGGTGATTTTTATCAGAGAACCTACAGAAAAACCCCTTATAAAGTTTGCTCCAGTGTTGGGCGTTGGCACCGGGCTCAAGCTTGTAGGGCATGAGGAGTAGAGGACTATTTGGAAAATCGGGATGAATTAACTTCTCTTTGAAATATTCCAATATTAGTCTTCCGATGATGAGGAAAATACTGGAGTGCAGTGCACTGTGGGACTGTTTCAGGATTTTCAAGACGGCGTCTATTTCGATCCCTAAACCAATCCCACAATGCACTGGTATGCGGGTTTTTCCCTCAACCTCTGAATGGCTTATCCCGGATCGCCCAACAAGAAAGAGAGATCAATTCTAAAAAAGTTATTTTATTCCAAATATTCAACCAAAGCGAGGTAACACAACTCACCGCAATAAATACAATCACCACTACAAAACTGTTTTCCTAAACCGAAAAAAAAAATACTGAAAATAATTGAAAAACGAGATTACAAAAATATTATAACACCATGTGAAATTCTATGTACAAAACAACTGATGATTGTCCTATGCATTAGGTATGGGTGTCTGTCCTGGTGGTAGAGGTGGCTGTGCAGGTGGTAAGATGTGACCACCTTTACGCGACAGTAAGGTGATTTCGTCCTTTAGAGCATCGATCTCCTGGGCTTGAAGTTGGACCAGTTGAATCAATCGTTGTCGTTCACGTACGTCAGCTTTACGCGCCCCGGTGAACTCGGTACCCTGTAATAACGGAACGGAATAGAGTTTGAGAAATAGTTCAAGTTGTGTCACTAGTCAATAATGCGTTCCCGTGCCATCCTGCTTGTCTGTCTGTCTGTCTGTATGTTTGCCTGTCTGTCAGTGTTTGTCTGTCTAGCTGACTGCATGCCTGTTCGTCTCTGTCCGACTGTCTGCATACATGCTATCTGTCTAGTTGTCTGTCTTTCCACCTGCCTGTTTGACTGCCTGTCTGTCTACTCGTTTGTCTGTCTGTCTGTTTATATTTATGTATCTATATAATAACATCTTGTAAGGTTATTCATACCAATGATTTCTGCCTGGAATCCAGCATCTGTTCGAGTTCTTTCTTTTCTTCAAGTAGCACAGTAAACGTGTCTAAGCGTTGCGTGTTCTCGCGGGTTAACTGCGTGATCTTGGATTTGTACGAATCAATCTTCGTCTAAAACCAAAAACAATTGCATTGAGCATTAACATGGCAGGGCTCTTATTCTTGTTTCTAGAGCCTGCGATCGTTTTGGCTTTTTCTCCAATGTTACGACATGCGCAAAACCAGGACGTCATGTACGGAAAGGTAGAATCACCCTCATACATCGTGTAGTGGTTTTGGGTCCTTACAACATTTTTATGTTGAACRAGTAGTGGTGTGTTTCCCTCTGACTGCCGTGCAGGGTAAAGGTAGGAGAATAACGAGAGCGCATTTCGCATTTATAGGGAAAAATACGACAAATTTGTACCGTACTGAAGCTGTACCGAATTCTTCTTCCATAAAAATTTAAATATTATTGTCGTACCGTGACATGACCCTACAACTCCCAGTCATACAAAGCGCTGCATCACTAGTCTCGCTATCTTGTACAAGTTATGAAACACGTCTCTACTTACATCCCATTTAGCAACATCCTTGGCAGCTTTCACCTCTTGTTGCCTCAATTTTTCCTTCAGTTCTTCCACAGTTCTATTCACACTGACCGTCTCCAGTTTCTCTAAGTCAACCAGTCGGCCAAACTTGAGCATCATCATGTTCTCGACTTTCTCGTCTAGTTCGGCAATCTATGAAAACGACAGAAGATTCAATAATTATGGATTCCGCAAGACAACAAGTTGATTAGCTTTGGGAATACGCTTTCTCGTGTCCTACCAAACAGCGCGTGTTTGGAGCATGGAATTTGAGTCACCCTCGACTCAAGAACCCTGACATTCGTACTACGCATGCTCGAAGATGAAACGTCATCTAGTGGAGCATGCGCAGAAAAAATGACATGGCTCTAGAGTTGAGTGGGAATTTTAGTCACTGCGCATGCTCGATGAAATGTCATCTCGTGGAGCATGCGCAGTTAGAATGACAGAGTCAAGAGTGGGATAACACAGTTTCCTCACCTTGGACTCCATAACTTTCTTGTCTCTAATCAGCTGCACATGCTTGTGTCGATGTTCTCTATACAGGCGTTTCTGCTCGTGTTTTTCTTTCTCTAGTTCTTTAATCCTGTGTTGTAACTGGTTGAGGCCTGAGCCGCAGAACACGAGGCAAGGCGACAAGTCTTGAGGGATGGTGTTGTTGATCATGTACTGGATTTGACTCAAGCGTAACACCACAACCACATCGAGCTCGTTCAACTTTTGCTGTTTCTCGCGCTATGATAAGATAACAAAATTTCAGTTTTAATTCGATCTGCAAGTGTGTTAGCTGTGCCCTGACTTTGATCAGTCTAGAGGTTATTTTAGGGTTTGATAAAATTCAGTAAAGAAATGAAATGTAATTAATTATTATTATGAGAATTATTATTATGAGTCCCAAGCACGTGTAAGGACAAGGTTGCGCACTTAGGCAACTTGAAGAAGACCGAGTTAATTGACAAACGCACATAAAAAAATATTGGGAAAAATGGAAGTTCTTTTGGAGTAGGATGCAGTGATAAACAAAAAGTGCTGGCACATCCCAAGGCAATCACGTGCCATGCGGGAAGAATTGATATTGATGATGATGATGTAAAAGCATTCCTAAACAAGCACGCGCAACTAATCGCTGGTATCTCGTATCTCTGCCTGATAAAATAGAAGCGAAGAAAAAAATGGTCATTTCTATATCATGTGTTTTTTACCTGGAAGGCTTCAAGGTCTGCTTCAGCAGTGTTAAGAGCCGAGTCAATAACTTTTGCTTTCTTTACCAAAGCATCGCATTCTTTCTTCAAAGTTTCGCTAGCTTTTTTCTCATCCGCCAGCTCTTCCTCCAAATCTAATCGGTTTTCTCGTAGCTGGCACACTTGGTCGAACAATGCTTGGTCACATCCTGGAGGACAGACAGTATCGTCAAGCTCCTCTGCATCGCTGTCTTCTTCGTCGCTTGATGACAAATCTTCATCACTGTCTTCTTCATCGCTTTCTTCGTCTGAGCCCTTTTCGGTCTGAAAGTGAAGTTGACTGTAAGTTAGTACAGCAATAAAACCAGCGACAACGATAGCAGTGGTTAGGACGACAATGAAGTGTAAATATCGCAACAACAACAACCAGTAATACACAGCATTCAACTCACATGTTGATTTTTACAGAGTGAGAAAACTAGAGAGCCCTGAAAATCCCTGGCCAGTGGCAAGGGAGAGAACAACACAAACAAACTCATCTCGCACATGCAGTTCTGTCAAGACACGAACGCGCAGCCCTTGCTTGAACTACGCATCAGTGAGAGACTGACTATGCAAAGCATTCCTCACTAGCTTCTCTTGTTGGATCAACCAACATGGCGGCTGTTTCATTGTTATTCATATCTCAAGGGATTTTTCGGTAACGTGYTTGTATACCAAAATTAATATCGATGAAATTTTACCTGTGCTTTCTTCTTTGCTCGTTTGATTTTCTTCTTAAAGACTTTGGTCAAAAAGTTTTCGAACTTGTTATTTTCTCCCATAGCGGTCGAGAAGGTTGTGTAGAGCGTCTTTTCTCGATCCAGTAGTTTCTCAATGTCTTGTTTCTTTGCTTCGAGCTTCATCTGACAATCTTCTACCTGCGAACACAAGGGAATTCCAGAACAATGTAAGAATAAACCATTTTCGATTTTCCAAATTACCGCTGTGTTCCTTGATTGTAGCCTCGTATCAGTGCCTAAATATTCACAAATACCAACGGTAAAGTAAAGAATGCACAACTTTAACAATACAAACACTTTGAAATTCCACGGACTTTGACTGGAACACATGAATATTCTACATAAAATCGAGGCTAACCCTGAGCAACAGAGAACTCGATACTGGAGTATGAATACAAAAAAAAGAGAAGCAAGCTTTTACGCTTTTTCACTTGTTTTTGATAGTTTTGTGTTTTGTTTTCATAGAACGGTTCTATTTTGTTTTGAGTGTACGTGTAATCTTGTTTTTCTCATTGCTTCGTTTTTCTGTTTAGTTTTATTATGCTTCCTATTTTAATATGTCTCACCTTATCCTGCATTTCTTCTTTCTCTGTCAGTTTAGTATTCACTTTAGTAGCGTAGACATTCTCTCTCTTCTCGAACTCCTTCAATAACATGTACTCCTCGAACAGCGTGACCTGGCGCAGATCAGCGCACTTCAAGGCCACATCCAGGTGTTGTTTATCGTGGCGTAACGTGCGCAAATCCGCGTCGAATTTCTTCATCATGTTTTGGATGTTGTCAATCAAAACATCTTGCTCGTACTGCAACCTGTGTAAAAAAATAAAAAATACCGGGTCGATAAATGACCTTTTAATAATCCTTTACATACCCGCTATACAATGTTAAAAGTCCCCAAAAAAGTCAAAAAAGTATTTTTGGACTGGGCTGCCACAGGCAACCCAGTAATTATATCCAAATGTTAATTTTGGGCTAACTGTGTAGAGATGACGTCACAAAACAGTATTCTGACTTACTTTATTTGCTCCTCTTGTTGAATCTGGAGCTCTAGAGGAGAAGGTTCCTCTGGTACTTCTTCCAACAGGGGCTCGGGCGTGCCCTTATCTGTGGGTCCACTTAGACTGGATTTCGGTCTTCCACCAGAATGGACCGATACTGAAGATACTGACCGATCACGTGCTTGGGTACCAGGCTTACTCTGCCCTCCCTGCTTACCAGCCTGAAATAACGTCAGGGGAAAAGATTGTTCGTTGGGTACAGACATCAAAAATAATACACAAAGATTAAAATTACAATGAAAATCTCTCTCGTCTACGCTCTGATTGTTCCACTCATGTCATCAATAGACCATTATCAAGTTCCAAATTCCCGCTGTGTTCCTTGATTGCAAACATCAATGGTAAAGTTAAGGATGCACAACTTCGACAATACAATTTCTTTGAAATTCCACGGACCTTCACTGGAACACATGAATATTCTACACAAAGTCGAGGCCTGAGCAACAGAGAACTCCAAACTGGGGTAGTCTATACTGTCGATCCCTTTGGCATGTCTTGTTTATTTTTATGTTATTGGCTTGGGTAGACTTACCTCTCCACCGCCGCCAAATCCACCAAATCCGCCAAAACCCCCACCAGACTCTTCTCCATGTCCATCCTGCTTTGTCAGGAGTTCTTTCTTAAACTCAAGAAGACGTTCTCGCGTATACTCAAGACGCCTAAAAAATATAAAGAAAAGATGAGTGAAATGTTTCTAGAGAAAGAAATCCAGGTTGCGCGCGTCAAAAAGAAAAACATTGCGCRCGCTTAACGTAAGGTGTCCCCTGCGCGCGCAATTGTTTGAACCAAACTTTTACATCACAAATAACTGTCATTGCACGAGCGATATCATTTGATTGTCGTGTTCATCGTCGCCTCATTGTCCCGTAAGCGGCAGATTCACAGCTAACGGTAAGAAAAGGCGAGATGAACAATAATTTCCGAGCGAAAATGGAAGAACTTGGGTCAGTAAGCATGGAAAGTTCATCATCAACTGGAAAAGAGCGAAGTGAACATGAACAACGAGTGCAAAATACAGCAGCATACATGGCTGCTCTGAAGGTCCAGGTGGAGAAAACATTTTTGGATAAGAAGCACGAGGCGCTGGAGAGATGGATGAAGAAAAGTCAAGAAGACAGCCACAGAACGATTAAGAGAGTTTGTTACAAAGCTGAAAGCGTGATTCACGGGATGGTAGAGGCAAAGAAAAAAGCGATGCAAGACATGGTGAAGAAAATGGAAAAAGACTTGCAAGAAGAACTGAAACATCTGAAAGAAGAAACGAGAAGAAAAACTCTAYGAGAATTTATCGAGAATAATGGACGGTACCTCGATAAAGAAAAACTAACTAGAATCGCTAACCTTAAAACCGCGAGTGAGAAGATTGAAAAAAGTCAGTCTATAGTTCAAGACACATTGATATCGATCAAGGAACGACCACTGCAGGTGACGCCCACGATACAAGAACTACAACTCAACGGTTTGTCCACATGCGGAGAGAGAGGAGTTTCAGCGCGATATCCCAAAGAAATCTCTTCCAATCAGGAAACCAAAATGGCCGAACTAATCGGAGAAAAGGAACCTATTTGTCATACAGAGATGTGTCTATTCACCAGCCTGAACCAACCACAGGAATCCCATGACAAGAAATGTGATAAAAATCCACAGGAATCTCCTAAGGAGATATGCGTAACAATAAGAGATCCCAACAGAGGGACCTTAGTTACTTGTCAATTTGATTCCCGAAGGGTGACACCGAAAAGTGAGAGGGACGAAGAAGGGAGCGAATCGAGCATGGCAGACGATGAGAGCCCGTGGTTCACGTGTACAGCATGTTCTCGAACGAGCCTTGATATGCAAATGTGTTCAAGGTGTAGAGACAGCTATTACTGTGATGAAGACTGCCAGAAGAATGACTGGATGGCTCACCAGCACACATGTACGGAATATACAAACTACTAACTTATTAGATGTAACAATAGGGTGGATTTGTGTGATGTCTTAATATCGTGCATTTTGATTGGCTCAGAGAAAAACCCAGTTAAGTGTCGAGAAACTCTACTTCCTCGCTTGACTCAAGTTTGTATTTTTTTTCGTTTGTTTAATGTTTTATCTTGAAAATAAAGGAAGGACTAAATACAACGTCTTGTGGTAGATAGTGTTGTAGTTACCTTTCAGGTTGTTCGTCTGGACGCATTTCTGGTACTTTCGGGATTGGACGGCGAGCGTGCAATTCAATCTTCTTCTGCATTTCTTCGATTTTGATGATGTTTTCTTTGGCCTTGATAAAGAAAGGTAATGATAATGTAGGAAGATTATAACGAATGATAGGGGTGATGATGATGATGATGATGACATAAATTTATATGGTGATGGTGGTGATGACATGAAGATATGACGATGTCATGATATGATTATGATGTCGATGATATGATGATGGTGGTGGTGGTGGTGGTGGTGATGGTGGGTGTTGTTAGTCATGATATGATTATGATGATTATAATGGTGATGGTAATGATATGATGGTAATGATGATGATAATGGTGATGATGGCGATGATATGATGGTGATGATGCTAATAATGCAATATGATAATTGTGATAATGATGGTCATGATAGTAAAGATTATATGATGATAAAAAATAATAACTAATAAATTAGTCTACTTTTAATACATTAATATATTAATTTTACCATCGTAAAAAGCATTGAGATTGTATGATTATGCGTTTTTAAGAAATAAATATTATTACCATTATTATTTTGATATGATTAGCATGATGATAATGACTATTAATTCAACTTTTAGAGCGTATGTTCAGCTGCATGGTTACCTCTTTGATGATGGCGATCTTTTTATTCCTCAGAGCCAAGAAGTTTTGGTTGAATTCAAACTTATACTGGTGAATCTAAATAAAAAGGAAGAAAGAAACGTTTTACAAATTGAGATTGATTGCAATCCTCAGCAAGACAGAATGGGTGACGGGTAAGGATTCAGTTGCAACACATGTGCAAAGAAGAAAAATAAAATTGATTCAAGAGCTGGTTGGTTCAATATTTCATAATATACCATTTTCGAGTTCCAAATTACCGCTGTGTTCTTTGATTACAGACTCATTTACACAGGCTTAGCCTCAGTGTCTAAATATTCACAAAATACCAACGGTAAAGTAAAGAATGCTTTAACTTCAACGCTACAAACACTTTGAAATTCCACGGACCTTCACTGGAACACATGAATATTCTACACAAAATTCGAGGCTAACCCTGAGCATAAGAGAACTCGAAACTGGAGTATTTCCTAACCTGATCCAGTAGCTTGAGAAGCTGTAGCCTCTTCTTCTCGGCATTCACTCTCTGACTCTCTGGCACCACGTAGTCTTTAGCGGTTTTCAGCTTGTAGTCTCCCATGTTTTCTTTAGCTTCTTTGATGGCTGCTTTGTCTTTAGGATCCTCGTAGTTTTCATCTGGCTTGTTACGATTCAGTTCATCCCACTGTGACAAACATACATTATTATAATTCATGAAAAGGTAATTTTTTGCAACTAACTACAATTTTTTTGCGGGCGCCATTGTTTTCTTGTAGTCTTCCTGTGGTATCCATAATGTCGTTTTTTGTCTAAAGACGCGCGCGACAAAAATGTTCTAGTGCATTTTTAATTGATTTTTTCACTAGTTTACGTTGTGGAGGACACTTTTTTGACCTTGAATTAAAAATAATAATAATCAAGGTTGAGTTATTGAGTTGAGAATATGTGAGTTATTCTAGCCGTGCCTTGACGTTGATCAGCCGAAAGGTTGTTTCTGTGTTCAATGTGTGGGGTCGCGTGAAAGAGAATCCCTTACCTGTGCTTGTCTATTCATTCTCTTTATTCTCCTAGCTTCAGCCTTCTCCAGCGCCTTCGCCACTTTACCACCCAGCTGACTCTGTCCTTGGGCTGCCTGTTGTTGAAGCTGCTGTTGCTGTTGCGGTAGCATCTTCTCTGCTGTGCTCTGCCTTCTCATCTGCCTGACCGCCGATTTCTTGTTCGTCCCACCGTCCTGTCCCTCTTGGCCCTTACCGGTGGTGCCCTCGGCTTCTTGTAGCAAGAGGTGGAGGTAGTCTGGCTTAGAGGCACGGAATGATGACACAAGATGTTCCGTGAGAAACGCGCGCAGGACTATTCGCTCGCACTCGACTTCATCTTTAAACCTAGTGTGAATAACAAAACAAATCGCATTTTTCAATACGCCTCTTTACCTTGGGCGTAATTTTTTTTTCGTTTCAGACCACGTGTCATTCCCTAGAGTATCATTTCTTTGTTTAACGGTTGCGCATGCATGAGAAGACACATTAATATGATTACAAATCAAACAAAGAATCTTATTCTCAAGAGAGTGACACGTGGTCGGAAATGAGAAAACTGTCAAGTTATCACAAATTTCATAAAGCATAAGGGTCTATAGTAGACGTATATTGCATATTGTTACCGTTTTTGCAGTTTTTTCAACCCAATGGACTGTTTTTCAGATTCCCATTCCAGTTCTTTGCGCACCAGCTCCATCTATTATCACAAGCAATAACAATGAATACCAATTATCATTAGTATGTTAATGTTTAGTATAAGCTCATAGCAGTCACACTGCTTCAACATGCCAAAACATTGAAATGGCTTCCCATAAGAATACTTTACTGACTTACAGCACGTGCATGGTACAAAATGTCGTAACATCGAAATGCCTTGAAATTGTCTTCCAAGAACTAATCCCATCACAACGCTTAATACGTTATGGCTATGGAAAGATACAGTACGGCTACCAATTTGCCGTATCTTTACCCACTCATACAAAAACCACTTTATTTCAAAACGACATCGATCCTTGAGGCGCTGCTTACCTTTTCTTGTGTCTTGGCTTTAAGCTCTTCCTTGATTTTTGGATCAACTACAAATTCCTGAAATAGTTTTCGCAGATAAATGTTAAGTAAAAGCCAAACATGCAACCTTCTGGTGCTAATTGTTGCTATGGTTACTATCACTATGGTTACAACAGCCCAATTCTCAGGGATAATTTATCACTTGTACACTTGATAATTTATCACTTGATCCTTGTACAGATCATTCTGCTGCTATGGCTACTCAGCATTACCATGGTCAGTATCCGTTACCATGGTTATCACTATGGTAACTCACCTCTGTTTTCAGCTGCACGTGACTCGGTAGCTCTTGGTTTCTGTTCATCAGCTGCTTGAATGCTTTTCTCAGGTTTGTGATCTTTCTTCTTATGTTCTATTAGGTGAAAATAAAATATGTTTAGGGTAGGTAAATAAAACAAGACATAATTTTCATATAGTCTTCAAGAGATTCACTTACTTGTTTTTTCTCTTCAGCGAGTTTCATCATCCTGTCATGCTCAGCTTTCTGTTTTTCCAGCTCGATACTAAAGATATATAAAAGACATTTTTATTTTGATATTTTGTTACAAGAGGGTGCGAAACAAAGGCATGGCTGCCATATTGATGGCTGCGATGGCGTAAGGCACACAAGAAGAACATCAATCCCCAGGTATGGTAAAGGGCAGTATTTCATGATTCTTCATGATTTTCCATCATGGCAAACTGTCCATCATGCAAACCAAGCACATCATGCGAGAAAAAAAATCAGCCAATTAAAATTCTAGAAAACGTCACGGTCACGGCACGTCACGTCACGGTCACGGCACGGCACGGCACGTCACGTCACGGCACGGCACGTCACGTCACGGTCACGGCACGGCACGCTTACGGCACTTAGCTCTATGACCAGATATTCTTGTACACCCTGGTACATCGTGGCAGTACCTCATGTGACATACCTGTAAAAGTTCGGATCGTCAATGTCATCTACTTTCTTCTGAATCTCTTGACCGTCTTCTCCAATCAGTTTCTGTTGAAAAGAACATCATTAAATATAATCAACCTGTAGTTATATACAACTTTCTGTAAAAATCTCCAGCCAAGCCTCAATTTTATTAAATCTCGGAAAACCTTTTGACTTATCTAAGTATGGACAAGACTAGCTCCGACAAGATTAAATAGGAATTTAGCATTTAGTGCGTTTTGATCTAAGGTATTGCGTGAATGACGTCATAGATATTGACATCACGTGATTATAAATGACGTCACATACCTTTGGCGATGGTAGCGATACTTTATGCGGTACTTTGATTCCTTTCAAGGCTTTATCCATAAACTTGTGCACAAAGAAGTTTCCATCGTGACCAGTCGTAAAGACATACTTGTCATCAAAACTCGTCTTGATCTTAGTGATGGTACCGTTATGGTTGTCATGGATACTGAACGACCAATAGGAGGAGAGGTGTTCCAGCTCTGTGTCTTGCTCCAAAGGGTGGATACGAACAGCGCCATTGTCCATGCCAAAGATTATGAATTTTTTGGAGTTGGTGAAGTAGACCGACCGGATGGGAACGTCGTTGCTGTTGTCTACTGGGATGCAACGCTTAGGTTCTCCTGACCGGTCTTCTGTCCCTGGTGGTGGGGGAGGCTTGTCATCAAACGCACACTCATAAAGGTATCCAGCATCCCAGCCATCCATGGAGAGGTAGAACCTATCGGTAGTCTTCCCATAGTAGAATCCATGAATGATCTGGCTTGGACCATGGTCTCGTTTCTCCTCCTCTTCCTCTTTTTCGTTTTCCTCTTCTTCATTCTCGTCTTCCTCCTCTTCTATCCCTCTTTCACGTCTTCTAGCTCGTTCTGCCTCCTTTTTCTTCTGCTTCTCCGCCTTCTCCTTCGCTTTGATGGCGTCCTTCTCAGCCTTCCTAAGCTTGTCTTTAACGCTTTTAAAGAAGAACTCGGTAATCTTCAAATTCTGTAGCGGCAAATGATAGGTTTTGCTTGTATCATGTTCCCCGTGCTGTGGTGCCTCCACCTCTAAYACCGTACCATCCTTGCAGCTCACCAACACACCTTTCCCCTTCTTGCCCTTATTTGACCATACGATAGACACGACAGGAGAAGCAGTCTCTATAAACCCAATAGGTTTATAAGTATCTCCTATAGTGAAGAAAAACACGGTACAGTCGTCACTTCCTGTAGCGAGCAGCTCTCCATCGTAGTCTATAGTAATAACAGTCACAGGTTTGGTGTGAGGCTTGAAGGCTTGGGTCAGAGTCAGCTCGTAGTTCGACTTGGACTTCTTTGAACGTACTTGGGAAAGATCGACCTTGTTAAGGGTGAGTAGTCGTACCACGCCATCAGCAAACCCTGCTAGAATGCTGGTGCCCTTGGCGTCGACCATCTTGGGGACCCACAGTAGATTTGAACCACCAGAGTTGTATTTTTTGTGGCAAATTTGTTTCTTGGACAAATAGTCATAGACACGGACAGTATCTGTAAGGAAAGGAAAACCATGCATATTTTATGTCAATTATGCAGGATATAACAAGTGCTCTGAAATGGAAGATCAAATTGAAGTGATGGGTGTGTATGTGTGGGGAGGTGTAGGTGGTGTGTGGGGATGGGTGAGTGGTGTGAGGAGATGTGGGTGGTGTGTGGGGAAATGTGTGTGGTGTGTGGGGAGGGGTGCGTGGTGTGTGGGGAGGGGAGGGTGGTGTGTGGGGAGGGGTGCGTGGTGTTTGGGCAGGGGTGGGTGGTGTGTGGGATGGGGAGGGCTCCCTGACAGTCTTATGAAGTACAACTTACGGTCAACTCCAGTCGTGGCAACAAAGTGAGCAACAGGTGAAGTATCCATTCCTGTGATGATACCAGCATGGTATGAAAACAAGTGCTCTGGAGCATGGCTCTGCAATATGGCAATACAAGGAATATGAGTTATGATGATGTAGAGTTCAGAAGAATCAGACCAGAACATAAGGAAAAAAACACCAAAAGGATTATCCACATTAGCCACATTCCTTCCTTCCTTCCTTCCTTCCTTCCTTCGTTTGTTCGTTCGTTCGTTCGTTCCTTCATTCATATGTTCATTCATTCATCCATTTATTTACTCCTTTTTTTATTTGTCTAACCATTGGATCAACTGCATGGTTATTTTTTTCATCACCTTCCAATGTCGCAGTGCATGCCCATAAGGTACTTACAGTATGTGTAAAGGAGAGATCAAGCTTCCATATCCCACCAGCTGCATCCTGTAAGGATAACATTATATTATAGTAATCAATTTAAAGTGTCCATCATTTTAAAAAACAATGATATAACAATCAAATAATATTATTGGAATAATTCCCATTGTAAGTAATCATCTAGACTAAAGTCCTTTTACCCTTGACTTCATCGCTTGCTGCGACAAGAGGTTTTTTTTTTGGATGCAAAAGAAAAATAAAGGTAGTCCATTTGCTTCACAAAAAGAAAAAACGAAAAAAGTATACTTGCGTCAAGTCTAGTAATCATCTACACTCACCTGCGCATACCAAATGGGTGCTTCACTGTTCACGGCTTTCTGCATGGACATCAGCTTGACGTCAGTACCAACCTGATGATCATGATCAAAATTTATTATAATATTTGTATAAGAACTGACAAGGCCAAGAATCATGCCAGCTCTTTAATCATGCCTCCTCCAACCACACCCCGCTCAACAGTATAACCTGTATTTATTGGAATAGAGTGTTTAATATGATGCACAACCATACCTTCAGTTCATACATTGGATCAACTTCAAATAGGGATCCTTCCTCATCGGTGTCGGCAGTGTCTATACTTTCAAAATCCCACACCTGAAAATAGAGTGTGAATATATTTTACTATATTATAGAAATAAAGAAAGAAATACAAAATGTGTGTATCTGCTGTGTGCAGTTATATGGGGGAAATATTAAAAAATTTTAACATTCTTTGAATGTTCTGATAACCTCCAATTGTTCTATAGCTGCACTAGTGATTGCACAGGAAGTAGGTCTTCTTATTTCAATTATTTTTCAGCCATTATTTGGATATGAAAGACAATTGAAAATAGAAAGTGTGCATGCAGACATGCCGTGTACTCTCATAAGGCATGTACCCCCCAACCAATAAGAAAGTTAGATTTATAAGAGCTGTATCACCCACCTTCACATATCCATCAACACCAATACTCATTAGTTCTCCCTCATCCATGAAGAACTGTTGTATCATCCCTTGATGGCAGGTCTTCTTGCCTTTCTTGCAGATCTCTACCTTGATCAGTCCTCCTTCCCACAACAACATGTTACCCCAGTCAGAACCTGACAAGACTTTGCCATCTGGTAATTCCACAAACCCTGTAGAAACATAGGAATTCATTTACATATCATGGCCATAGCAATCGTTGAAAACCTGGGGGGGGGGGGGGGGGGGGGGGGGGGGGGGACACAAAGTCACTTCTCAACAGGTGATCACAAAAGGATGATTATTTATTTTGAGATATTACTTATTGTTACTTTTATACCAAGCCCCCTGGCCCCTATGGAATATACACCCCTGGATAATGATTAGCACTATTTATTAAGGATCTGATCCATGGTCATTTTTTACCTGTGGGGGGGTTGGGGGTGGCAGAATTGTTGTGGGTCACTTTTAAAAATGAGGGGTCACTTCCAAAAAAACTAATGCCTTTTGTCAATTGGTGCTTGTAATGAGGGAGTCATATATATGCATTCTTAGTTATATTAAAAAAACTGCCCCCCTCTCACAGGTAATGAAAAATCAGCCCCTAATTTACCTTCAATGTCAGATATTTCCTTTGCTCCAAACTTCCCAATCAAGCCTTGAAGCTTGAGGCCAGTAAAAGTGTTTGCCATTGTCCAGAATCTGTTGAGGAATGAGGTATCAAATGGAATCAATTGTGCAAGACAAGTATCATTAGTGTGAAAGTATTATATAAAATATATATTATAAAATATTATCTTCAATAATATTGATAATCATCTTCCATTACCAAAACCATCATCATGATCATCATTATCATTATCCTTACTATCATCATCATCATCATCACCACCACCATCATCATCATCATTGTTACCAAAACCATCATCATGATCACCATGATCATTATTCATCATCAATATCATCATTATCATCGTCATCATCATTATTCATCATCAATTTCATCATCATCATTGCTACCATCACCATCATCAACACCATCATCACAATCACCCTAATCATAGGGATATCTAGCACACTATCTACCTTATGTGACCAGATCCACCAGTAGTAATATGTCCTTCATTATCAGGAGAAAAAGCAACCTGGTAGATATCTTGAGCGAATGCTTTAGTCCTCAGCGAGATCTTCTCTTTCTTCCAGTCCCAGATAGTCATCATATAATCTGGTGAGCTACCAACAGAAGCCAGCTGTGTTCCATCAGGAGAAAAGTCAAGGTTTGCATATGCTACCTCTGTACCGTCACGCAATACTCTGTATAGTTTGAGTGAAGGGTACTCAAAGATATTGATATCTGGTTTGACTCCTTTTTCAGCCACAGCAAAGTATTTTCTACTTGGGTGAACCTGTTTTTGAAAAGATGGGAACAATAGCTGCAACAGTGCCCTTGTAATATGGAAACATTTCTGTGTAAATTTCACTTACAGCTATTGCGCCAATGCCGCCACCACCAGTTGTTCGGAAGTACGACTGTTCTTGAGTTTTGATGTTAAGCAGCTGTACGACATTACCAGCTGAGAAGAGAACTGTATCTTCATCCATGACATGAAGGTTTGACCTCCTTGTGCACTCATATCCAAATGAATGGCTTTATTTGGTAGTATTGGTCAAAGAAAAATGGTGTTTTTATTTCAAGATGAAATAAAGAATGACCTTAGACCTGTAACCTGCATTTAAATCATACTTATTGAAACATGAAACAACCTCAGGGCTGATCAAAGTCAGGGCATGGCTAACTCACTAAACAAATTTTCTTTAATTCTTTTTTCACACACTTTCCCCCCACCACCTCTCCCCTTGCTTGGGTCTGAATACCTGTGTCAAACATAGTGTAGTGTTTTTATTACCCGATGAATCTCTGTTCTTAAATTTTAAGCAAGGGAGAGACCCAACAAACTCTACTCTTATGTGATATCAAGACTGACAGGGAATTAAAGATGAGAGCACTACTACTACCACACCACCCTTGATTCCATTCATAATAAGATGTGACTTAATTTTTTCTAGGATACTGTAAAGTGATTAGTTGATCAGGAATTCCCTCTGTACGATATGGTTTTGAAGCAACGCCATCATAGTCATAATAGAAATCATCAGGTAATGCATCCTCTTCTTCATCACCTTCACCTGGAATGAAAAACAAGAAAATATCAGTCAAAAGATCATTTTATTCATTTGATGGTTACAAACCCTTGTCAATGCAAAAGTGCATGAATATTTCTAAACTCTAATTGGATCTGGAAGAACCTATAGTACATGAAAATTACTCTGTGAATTTTTTAGGTACCCTACCAAATTGTGTAGTTTTTTTGKTTTTTTTTATTTCTTTTATGGATGCCATTCAAACAAACAATTTCATTCTAAAGAGTATGACATAAACTTCAAATGTGCTCAACTTGTTTATTATATTGTATATTCCCATTCATTTGAGGAGTACTGTAAGGGTTGGTGTATGCAATCTCTCACCAATGTGGCCCGGTTCAAATTCTAGGCTTGCCAGTATTGTATGTGAGTGAAGTTGTTTGTCGATTCTATCCTATGCTTTGAGAGTTGTTTTTCAGGGTTCTCCGGTTTTCCTCCCTCCTCAAAAATCAACTTCTAAATTCTACTTTGATCTTGGGCTTTCAACTAGTTGGAACCTGGCACTGTTGTAATTGTCCCACACTGTGATAAAAAGCCAAAGCTTACTAGTTTTCTTTATATAGAATTATGTATTTATATATACAGTATTTTTACCTTGAATGGTTGGTACACCCTCTTCTTGATTTTCCTTACTCTCTTGTTCTTGTTGCTCTTCCTTTTCTCCTTCACTTGACTCAATACTTTCTCCTTTCTCATTCTTTTTACTCTTTTTAGACTTCTTCTTTTTCCCTTCCTTTTCTTTTTCATTTTCATCATCTTTACCTTTTTCATCTCCATCCTTTTCTTTGCCATCCTCTGAAGGTCCTCCTCCTGTCTCATCTCCAGAGCCACCTTTTTCATTTTTGTTATTTTTTAGGTTACTATCAGAAGCTTGCTTCTCAGCACTTCCACCAGCATCAGCACCACCAGCTTTGCCATCAGCATTTCCAGCGCTTACATCATCATTTTTATCACCATTATCTTGGCTTGATTCAGCTGCAGCAGACTTTTCTTTTTCATCACTATCCTGTTTAGGAATAGATTTATCATCAGTACCGATATCACTGTCCTTTTTTACTCTATCTGGTACCTTGTCCTTTGATTCTTCCTGAGAAGAATCCTGAACATCAGTATTACTTGTAACATTGTTCTGAGGTACAGGTTCACTCATTGGTGGAGAAACTTCGTCACTAGTTTCTTCCCCCTTGTCAAGAGTTTTTTCTCCTGATTTACCATCAACGTTAGAATCATCAAAACTTGACTGTGAACCATGAGATTTTGATTCTGTTTCAGTGGCACTACATTTTGTGACGTTAGGATCAGTTTTACTGTCTCCTGACATCTTGGCGGAAGCTGTAGCACCCTCTTTATCAGTTGAAGGACCAGCAGTACTCTCATCACCAGCACCATCAACACCTCCTGATCCTTTTTGTCCCTCGTTATCACCTTCTCCAGCTGTTTGCTCCGTAGAACCTTCATCGGTCTTACCACCAGACTTTGTTTCTTGATCATGATCCTTACTAACACCCTGATCTTGAATATGTCCATCATCTTTCGTTAAAGACTTTGATGCATCCTCCAAAGGAGCCTTTCCTGAGCCTGGTCTGGATCTTCTTGTTCCAGTCCCTGGTCTAGAGGTCCCTGAACTTGGTCTGTCAGCAGCACCACTACTAGTTTCTCCTACAGGAGCCTTTCCTGAGCCTGGTTGAGATATTTTTGAACCAGTCCCTGGCTGCAAGGTTCCTGAACTTGGTCTGCCTGCAGAATCACTACTAGTTCCTTTAGCACCTATTTCATCTTTTGCAACTTCACCACCAGTGTTATCACTAGAAATGTTACCAGTTTCACCAGAAGTTGTGTTATCACCCCCGCTGCCTGACCCTTTAGGATCATTACCATCATCAACCCTTGCTTTGTCACTTGTTCCTTCAACTACTTCTTTTTTTGTTCCCTCATTCTCAGCAGTTTCAGCAAACTTAGATTCTCCCCTCTCATTAACTGGAGTTTTAGATTCATCTTCACGATCTCTGGAAACAGACACCTCTTCTTTTTTATCCGACTGCTCGTCTTTCTCAACTGAAATATCGCCGTTGCTATTTTCACCAGAAGCCACTTCAGTGTCAGTCTTGGAAACTATTATCTCTGGCTTATCATTATCATTGGTATCTATCTTCCCCGTTTTGTTAGTATTTGGTTCATCAAAGACCCCAGAACCTTCCTGTCCCCCCTCATCAACATCGCCTTTCGCGGTCTTGTCTTTATTTCCCTCGTCTTGCTCATTTTCACCAGTCGATTTTAGAGTTTCATCGGTAGACTCTCTACTACTTCCATTTTCGGGGCCATTTTCGTCATCATATTCGGCATCTTTGAGTTGTAGTCTTCTCAACGCTTCTGCTTTAAGTTTTCCAGTGGCAGACTTTAGGCTATGTTTGCTACTTTGGCTGGAATTGGGCTTCGAATCGTCGTCGTTGTCCGACATTTTGGATTATAACTTTGTCTGTTCGAATATCCGTTGCTATGGTGATTCTTATTTACTACTACTACCGCTGTCCTCTTTGTATCAAGTAAAATCGTTTCAAATTTTTTATTATTTTCGCTTAAATTTCGTCCTTTTTTACAAAATATTTGTTTTAAAGGTATTAAACATGGTAAATGTATAATTTAATGATAGAAAAAACTCGTAGGCGTCTTATTTTTGTGATTTTTTAAATAGCCCTACATTGTACTTTTATGAACTAATTTTTTATCATAGTATCATTGAGTATATTTGATATGAAAAATATATGTTCAAGAAAAGCTGCTCCCTTTTGTGAAATCTTGATAATTTTACTTTCAACTTGTTCAACTTGTAAGGCTAATATCTGAGCATAAATTTTATGATACTTTTTAATATATCGCTTGTCCTCGCGAAAACTAGTAARAAAAAGTGTCGCCTTTTTTTTGCGGAACCAGAGTAATACTGAAGCCCATTGAGCATGGGGAATCTGCCATAAGGTTTCATTTATGGACAATATTTAAGCTTATGCTCACCTATTTTCTTTTCTATAAAATGCATTGAATTATAAGCTAAAATTAAGCTTAGGTCCGTTGGCAGTTTTCCCCACTAATACTCGGTCGAATTTTTAGTCGAAACTCTAACTGGAATATGATGGCCATTTTTTATTAATTTAGTATTTCAAATACATCAGTTCAAAATCATTTATCATATTAAAAATACGATAACAAAAGCTTTAACTTACCATGATGAATGAAAGCCCAAAGCTTGATTCACCTGTCAAGACTTCTTTCTATCTATCTTATTCGTTCTGATCCTAGGATTTTCTTCTTATTTCTCCAGGGACACTTTAATACTATAATCATGATTAGATTTTTTGTAAATGCATAAAATATATAGGCGAAAAGGAGAATTTTCCTAAAGCGTTTGTTTGAGGATTTTCCTTCGCCTTACAATGTCTCATAGCAACCGAAAACTGAAAGTGACGTCACGAAGTAAAAAAAACTTTATGGGAGGGGAGGGGACGGAAAGAAAATGGGAGAGCATGAAATAAAGATTAAGACTCTTCTGTTTTCTTAAGTAGGGTTTTAGTTCTAGGCTTAAGCTTCTTCAGCTCGCTCGAAACAAAAATAACAACAACAAAAATTGCGACGTTTTTTATGTCAGGAAGTGGTGTAAAAAAAGATATAAATAAGCGTATCCTTATCAATTAATATCTCACAGAAGCCGTATACTTCTGTCTACATATATATTAGAACAAAAACATTATCAGAACGCTTCATGTATACGCTAGAGTACACATAAATTATGCATACATTATACGATGACGCGTTGCATTGCAGAGAATTCGATGGCTTTTGGCTGAAATTCTGTTAGTTATATCTATATTTTCTTTCATTTTCGTTTTCAGCTTAAAAAGAAAAAAAGTACAATGACTTGTACAAAAAATCTTGAATAACTAAAACTGAGTCGTTTATCCTTATTGACGCTTATTTCAACTTGYCTATTCTTTTTTCTTGTTAATTTTATCATAATTTTTTAAAATTAATTGTACTAAGGGGGTACACTATCTATAAGATGGTCTAAGAAGAAACAGGTGTAATTTTACTGTACAATTTTGTCCCCTCCCTACCCCGGGATAGTTACATTAAAGAGTATCACGTGATCTCGTACCTCACGGCACTCTCGCTCACAGCGTGGTTGGACTTCCAAGATGGCGTACGCAGAGTCACCAAAAGGATTGTCGAAATGGCAGCAGGTTGTACGAAATGCAAAGGCCTTTGGCACTTTTCTCTACGACAAAGAGAAAGGAGAAGTGATGGGAAGAGGTGCCGAGAGCTGGGGTTAGTTTTCCAACGACATTTTTGCCTCGTTTGGTTTAGCTCTGGCGGCCATTGCCGGCGTTTCGCAAACTGGGATTGTTTCAACGGCCATTGAGATTTTTGCCGTGCAAGTGCTTTTCACTCCATTCTCTTAAACTTATTTCGACTTTCTTTTTCTTTTTAGGGAAGATTACTGTATTCTTCATCATCTTCTACTTGTGTCTGGCCGGCTTCTTCGCTGCGATGCTGAACGTATTTTTAGCTACAATGCCTGACCCAGCAAAAGCTGAGGGGCCAAAGTTTACTCAATACCTCGCTGGCAGATCTGGTGGGTATAAGTCTCTATCTCTAACAGTAAACGACTCACAAGAGTCTTTGAATATTTCATGCAGTTAGATTTCAAATATGATGCTCTTCAGATTTGCAAAAAAACTCATATTTCTTGCTTAGTTTTAGCAAGCATTTGAGTTCATTATAACAAGGACAAGCCAGTGGTTTCCCTATAGAATATTGAATTTAATTAACAGTAGAAGGCTTCTATGCATCACTGACGACAAGCATTCTAATAAATTACCGAAAACAATATAGATTTGTTTATGTACCTCAATATTTTATTATTTTTGTAAGGTTTTATGAGTATAATGTAGGGAAATCGCTCCAGTTATTGTATTTTGCAATAAGGTTCAAGATTTTGCTCCTGGCATCTTACCGGCTATCTGCTGCCTAATCCAATGACTAGGCAGTCTTTCTATTCAATAATTCAGTTGTACAAGAACAGACGTAAAATCGTTTTTAATTCATGAAGTTTACTCATATGTAATGGAGAGGGGGCGTAGCGCTGGATATGAAGGACAAATATATTCTCAGAAGAGCGAATGCTTTGGGATAACAAAAGAAGTAGTTATATAGGCAAGCTATGGGGGTCTTGTGAAATTTTAAGTAAGTTTTTTAGTGCAGATTGAGGCCTTTGTTTACTGTTCTTGATTGAGACCGTTTGATTGAGTGGATTGAAAATACATATTCCTCTGCATGCTTGAAGTATTATGTTACACTCTTGGTAATGACATGTAACACAACATGTGTTACTTTGCAGGAGACCAAATGTTGTGTAATATATTACACCCAAAGGTATTATAAAACGACGAAAATCAATTTATCCCATATATTTTGAACAATATTAAACATTTGGACTAAGTAAACAACATGATAGGCTTGGTGTTCAGATCATAAGGAAATAAATCAAGATTTTAAGCTTCTTATAGTTCCCAATTTGCTATAATCTTTTGATTCATAGGAAACTGGGGTACAAATTCGTGGAGAATTGATTTCATATTGATTTCATTGAAAAAGATTTCATTTAAATCAGTTATGTTGCAAGAAGAATAAGTTGAATCTTTTAGTTGTACAGTTAGAGTAAAAGTATCAAGGTTGTGGACATTTTTTTTTTCAGCCCTCAGAATTTCACCTTCACACAAGATATCAAATTTCAATAAAGATAAAAGTGGAGAGTATAATGGATACGTTAACTCTATTAATGATTTTTTGAGTGGTAAGTACAATAAACTGTAATTACGCTACTTTGCAGGGCTTAGAAATAATGGCTGGCAATTGGATAATGTCTGACCGTGATTGGAACTTCCACATCTTTGCCTTGCTTATCATCATGACCAGCAACTCCCTGGCCATTATTGTAAGCCCTGCTTTAATATTAATTCAAATCTTTGCTCATAGTTTTACTTTCAATCTAATGTTAACCAACCATAATACAGAAGAAAAACAAAGCATTCCTAGTAAGAGAGGTTTTGACTGGAGTGTCCATACAGTAAGGTTTGTCTTTAAAATCTTTGATTTTCAGCATACAAGCAGCAAAATGACACTGACTTTGCTGCAGAGTACTGCAACTTCACTTCCACTAAGCCTATGCCTTCTGGTCAAGAAAAGCAATGCAAGTTTGATCTGACACAGCTTGGTCCTTGCTACAGTAACGCAAATGGTTTCAGTTATGGGTATGGTGATGGTGCACCTTGCTTCTTTATGAAGATGAACAAGGTATGACTATGTAACTAATTCAGTTTTGTCCTTGGACTTTTATAAAAGACATTCCAACTTTGCGATTCTTAATGATTTTTTAAATTTCTTTTTAACTTTAAGGTTTATGATTGGGTGCCTGAACCTGATGATGGCCTGAGCTATATCAAGATAGTGTGTGAGGGGGTGAGACTTCTGACTATCATTGCCTAATTGAATATATTTTATTGGTCATAAAAAATACTCTAACTCTCTGAAAATAAGTCTTGGAACACTAGAAGAACAATATCAGGGGCTTATTATTATTATTTCAAAGGTTTACAGTACATAATTTGGTAGGGTTACTAGAATATAACACAGAGTGTTTTCATTTATTTTTTGTGGAGGGAGTAAAACTTGGAGAAAAACCTCAAAACAGAGGAGAGAACCAAAAAGCAACTCAAAACACATACGACACTCAAGACTCAAATCCAGGTCCCATTGGGGAGAAGAAGGCATAATTCCCTGATTATCTTTATCTTATGCAAAATGTTCTTTTTTAGGCAAAAGTGTATCCAGAGCAAACTCCTGGCTTCCCTGTTGGCTTTTTCCCATACCGTGGTCAAGGAAAATGGCTATCTCCCATTGTTGCAGTGCAAATCAATGGTACCTCCAATGAAGAAGCCAAGTGTAGCGCTTATGCAAAGAATGTGGAGCGATCAAGCACCTTCCTCTTGGAGAGAGGGGCCTATAATCGGGTCAGAATACAAATTCAGTAGTTAGTCCTGTAATGATAGTCTTCAGGTTTGAGATTCATCTGCCTTGTATCTTTTTTCAAAATTTGGGAGTTTAAAACATTTTCTACACAAGATAACAGAAAACCAGCCTAACAAACAAAACAATCCATCAAGAAAATACTCTTTTGTGTGGAAACAGTAAAAGACTTGCCTATCTTGTTTTATTGTGTAGCTACAGAAAATATAATATTTCCAAAATATTTCCTTCACTTGTTAGAGAAAACGAATGCTTATTTCCAAATTTTAGCAAATATGCTGAATTATTCGCCAGACCTCCAAGAACGACAATTTCTTTAAATTTTTCCCTATTCTTCCCTCATTTTCCCCAGACCTTCTAAGAACCACAATTTGTTTATAGTTTTCCCTATTCGTCCCTCCAAATGAGTAAAATTGAATCACGTTTGTAAGTATTTTTCTGGAACTGCACAATACTGTCTTTTCTTGTTGTMAGTAATTGCATAAATTATTCTAGTCAATTTCTTTTTAAACTTTAAAATGAAAAGCCAGTTTTCACATCTTGTATATTAGTTATCATTCCTTTGATAATTTAAAAAACCTGGTATGTCAAACTTAGTGGTAATTTGACATGAATTCAGAATTGTTATTATAATCTCTTCCATAAATCTTTTTTATAGCCTAGAAGACTTTGACTTTTCAAGTTATAATTATTATTATTATTATACACATTTCCATGCACATAAGTAGGACTTCCTCAGTTACCAAATCTAGGTGCTTACATATTGTCTAGCTTCTGTATGATTCAAATGCATGAAAGGATCCCATAAAAGGCATACACTGAATTGAAATATGGCCACTATTTTGAATAAATATTCTGGATTGATGACTAGCCTCTCACATGTGAAAGAGTCTTTGCATGTGAATACGAGGCTAGTCAGTCCAGAGCAATAGTTATTTTAATTGGTTGTCATATTTGATTCAGTATTTAATGGGTGCCAAAAGTAGATGATAATGCATTATGTTTTTGCTAACTGAGAAAACTGCTTTTTTATTTCACCTTATTTTTTGATCAAACTTGCTATGTCATACATTACCTGAAATGAAGCATCATTTTTGGGGTAAGATGTTGTATGATAGGGTGTTGGAGGTATGCATTTTGAATGATATGAGTGTTCAAGTGGGATCAGTTTTTTTAAACATTGTACTTCACATGATATTATTTTAGAAATATTTTGCTTATTACCCATGAAACAAAATTCAACAAGTCATAACCTAATAATTAAAAAACAACGCCAGAATTATCATTTCATCAAGCAAACTTTTTTCAGAATTTTTTTTAGCTTAATGAAACATGATTCACATCTTTAGACCTGTAACTTTTGTGAATCCGGCCCTCTTGATTGGCTATGCTGATATGTCAATGATATCCAGTCAGCAGAGGCAGCCAAAACAATGTTGTGACAGATTTGGCAAAATTTCCAAGATTTTTATTATTTCTATTGCTTTTCAACTAGCTTGATATAATAAAACTGCTGGTGGTGCTTTCAACCTGGCTGGCTTTATCTGTGCCTTAGAAACTACTAACTTGCAGCCTTTTTGTAGCCTGCACCAGGCCAAACTTGTCTGTGGGTTAATTCTAAGAGAGCTAAAGTCGGGCTGCACTCAGGATACCTATAGGTTGTGGGATGTAGTTATAATTGGATTAATATATATTTCATGGGTTAAATGGATTCTACAGTATTTCATTTTGAATTTAATTGGTTTCTTATGATTCTATTAGCATTATCCTTTTTCCAAAGGTGTTTCTTATTCGTTTACGAAGTGACTTGTTGTACTTATTATTTCTGTGTTTTTGAATTTTGATTATTCAGAAAGTATGTATTTTTGTCTTGAAGTGAATCGGCATAAATATCTTTCAAACGTAATAAACTTTGCCTTGTCTTTAACTTCATGTTGAATTCTCATTTATTTTTGCATTTTTTCATTTTAATCAACCAAAATGACTCAAATAAAGTGACTAAAAAACTAGCGAAAGGGGGAATATAAACTATTGCGAGCAAAACAAAACGTTTTTGTTTCCCTGGATGTTTTCCCACTTCAGATCATGTGTCATTCTTTTGGAATTAAGATACTTTGAGTTGTATTGATGGGTTGCAAGCATTCCCAAGACAGTTAAAAGACAAAAACATGGCCGCCATTGTGGTACCGTTAACAATGGATGCTAATGAGAAATCTTTTGTTAAATGGTACCAACATGGCCGCGATGACGTAACGTGCAATCGAAGAATCCATATTCATTTGTCTTCTCATGCACACCTGATGTGAAATGGGAAAACATTACGCCCAAGTTGAATGGTTATAATATTTTTCCATCTTGTAAATTTCATGCTTTCCAAGAACATAATAATGGACGTTTCGGTCAGGATAATGGCTTGGGCTGCCTGTGGTGTGTGTAGCGTCCTACCTATCCCCAGCAGGGACCTTAAGCTGCAGGACGGCAACGTGGGCGACAACGTCGGCGAAATTGAGGCGCTTCAACCTTCTATTGTATCGTCATTTCGTGTTTACCTAGTATTTTACTCAATAAGCATCCCCGTTTTAGAGCGAAATGACGTCTTTTGGGAGCGCTTTACTTATAACGAAAATCAGCAAAGATAACCTTATGGCGTAGCCGTTCTCTTTAGTACGTAAAAATAGGACATTTCACGTCTTACTTTTAGCACAAGACGGCAATGATGCACAGTATTTCGTACATTCCAACGAGTATCTATTGAATAGCGCAATTAGTGCTATTGTATTCTTGCCGTCGTCGTCGTCGTTGCCGTCTTGCAGCTTAAGGTCCCTATTGTTGACGCCCAACATGCGTTTCCGTCAATTATCCGTTTCAGAGAAGACCTTGTGAAAAGACATGTTTCTTCGCTGCCTTTTACTTCCCTTGCTTCATCCAAAACAAACAGTGGGATTTTTGATTTAATCTTTTGGAAATGGAACTGCTGAAAAACGGTCACAACAGAGCAATAATTTTAGAAAACATTCGTTATTCTGTTTTATTTTTATTAAACTTGCTTAACTCTCATTTTTTTAAATAAACAGTTGTACGAACAATATCTATTCCCCAGTTTTGAAAACATCTTTGTTATGACTAGCTCCCGCTGCCCGCTTTCGTCACAGTCGTGTGTGCGGTGACCCGATAATCCAAAGTTCATTGATGTTTCGCGAAAGTAATCAGTGAAGCTTACTCCCTGACTTTCCTCTAAATTTAGACACACAGAATGTAAGCATTAAGTACTCTTTTGAAAATAGTTATTTCAATTTTGAGTTAATTCTCGACCCGCAAATTTACATCGTCAAACAGCACTCAACCTCTGAAGCCTTAAACTGACGTCACCCTTAGTAACAGCTACGTCATATCTACGTCTTTCTTCAGTTGTACCTAATCCTGGGCTGCTTAGGTCATTCTGGAAAAAAAGACTTACAAATAACAGCCCCTTAGAAAAGAGTTCCATAATGTGTGTCTAAATAAACCATTCAGTTAAAACGTGTGTTGTAAAGGTTGTTGTATACCGTTCTTTACATGTTTTGAGCATCCGTTTTTAGCACCACACTACGGAGATTCATTCAGGGGTGGAGTTATTTCCGATTTCCTTAATGCCATCACTCCTGATTGAGTTCCGCGTTAATGAGACACATGTAGAGATCACACATTACACGTTGAAGTCTTGGATACATTCATGGCAAATCCTGATAGATATTTGCGACCAGAACCCTTTTGTGAGCAGCTTTATACCTTCATTACACTCTGAACATTTATTCAAAATTCTAGCAAGAATTCTAATGCATTTTTTTCAAGCCATAAATACCAGTGATTAATTCATTTGCCTGAACTGATAAGCGCAGCTGTTAGTGGTCGTGATTCCTTTCTGATGCCTTTTAGCTTGACTTGCCTAGTCAGCCGCGATGGAAGTGAAAAATTCGGCTGGTTTCTCTAAATTATCGGCATTATCTCAACTCATTTTTTCAGAAGTCGATCTCAGAGGCCAAATTGTGATAACACAATGACCTCTATTCTTGAGGATAAAGAGGTAAGAGAGTAACTTAGTATGATATAAACTTTAGTTACAAGCATGCTAATATATTGTGGCTCACTTTAGTATTGGAACGACGCATACCTTATTTTCCTTGTTACTATTAGTGAAAATTATTTCAAATTCCGCTCTACTTAAAAAACCTTGTCTGCCTTCCAAATCATGCTGTAATTAAATCATATATATGACTTTTGCCTTGATATAAAACCTACTTGATCTATCACCAGAGATCTATCACCGTAAAGTTTGAGTGCTGAGTACTAAACTAGTTTTATACGGGAACTTATAGTATACGATCTTTATTTAGTACATGGCACTTTATCAATCCACGATTCCACTTGAACCTATACATGAAGCTCACACATCTAAATATTCAAATATCATTCGTGCTAAAATTATATAATTGTAGACTAGTTTTTATGTTATTTTTGCGCTGTGATAGCCGGACATCGGTGAACCTTGCTTACTAGTGATACATTCGTGACTGGGTGCCGGCGCAGTGCGTATGACACGATATTGGACAAGGAAGGCTAAAATTTGGTCATCATAGCTCAGAAAACAAAGTATACGAGATCCTAGCTATATTTTTTGTCCGAAAAAATTTTTTTTTCTAAATAGTACTTTAAAACGTGGTCCGCTTACATGAAGGTGACTGGCTTTTGCTGACTTATGCGTTAATCTTGCGACAACTCTTATGCATAGCCATGCATGCATGAACTTCCAAAATAATTTTTTAAGCTTGCACATTTATGCGTGAATACAGCTTTGGATAGTGCTATAAGAACCTTTCTTTTTTCAAGTTTGTTTTTGGGTAATTTTTCCCCCGCGCTATTACAGTATGTCACCTTGACTCAATTCACGTAGATTGTACAGGTTCATGTTGTCGGACAGCACAAATGGTGTCGCAATAACTTCAAACGCCCACAGTACTGATTTTAATTACGATGGGAGCTAATTGTTTATCATACTATGATCAAAGTTCGTCTTCCTGTTTCCATATCAAGACATGTACAATACTAGCCACGTAGCGTATGGTACAGAGTAGATTTTTGTCACACTTTTGGGTTTAGGTGCATAGCTACGAATATGTTAAGCTACGGTGTAAGATCGAGGTTAAACCAGAAGTAAAACGTAATTAAGTAGTAAACAGAGTATTGGAATGTTGTGCGAATATCACCATCACCATCATCATCATCATCACCATCACCATCACCATCATCATCACCATCATCATCATCATCATCAACAATCCTCATCGCCATTTCTTTATTACCGGAATCATTGGTCATGATCATCATTGATATCTTTATAAATCAATCTTGCAAAACATTCTTTAGCAAACAAAACATGTTTCAATATTCTGTTATGCAGAAAAACAAACAAACACGATTCTGGCCAAAATTTTATTCCAGGCCTAAGTATTTTTTCAGCTTCGATCGGTGCTACTTGAACAGCACCATCATCCCTGAATTTTTTTATTTTTATTTTTGGTATTTCGTAATGCTATTCTGAGTCAGATTCTGTTCTGATTGAAAACTGTAATTAATCATTTACGTATACGTACCCTTGAAGGCCAAGTCTGACGGAAGGTTACACAATTTGTCATCACCAAAGCGAGTGTTCTGCAATGGCGTGTATCCTCAGTCACAGATGAAAAAACTCAAAACAATGGTGAGTGTCTAATTCTATATTTAGCTTCTGCCTTAGTATTTATATATTTTTCAGTTTCTATATTGCTCACTGACAGACCTAAACGCGTCTTCCATGCTTTTTTGTGTGGCCCAACGACTTGAATGATTCAAAACAATATTTTATGTTATCAACACATGTTATATTATTTCAATCAATTCGACCAAAATCATTCCAGAACTTTCTATTTCGAGGAATAATAATGGAAGTAACCGTTACGTGACGTCATGATTACGTATCTTGACGTCAAAGTCAACAGACCATATCATAGATGTTTCAAAACAGATATGCAAATATAACTCTCAGAAAATGGTATTTTTATTCCGCCAAGCTCTCTAAGATTGTGCAAAAGTGTAAGTGTATTTTTGCCTCGTCTGAATAGGATCCTTTGAGATGTTTTCTAAAAAAATAAAAACTGTTCGATCTTTTGATATCTTGAACGACGTAACCAGATTTTCAAAAAAAAAAAGAAAGAAAGGAAAAGGAAAAAAGAAATTTTTTTTCTAAAGCTTTGTCCTAAAGAAAGTAATTATAAATGTTAGTTTTTCAAAGTATTAATTTTAGTAAAAAGCTATCGTAACAGGTTCGAAAATATGTGCATTTACCATCTTTGTTTTTTTCAGTTTTGCACTTTATTTTGCATATCATAAAGAGTTTTGCACATCTGCACACATATTGTCGTAAGAAAAGAGAAAGAGGATTTTTTTGTTATAGCTTGGATAGAGTGCAAAACTGTATTTTATTTTTATAAGGAAGTTGTTCGATGTTTTTTGAAAGCAATCTGTTAGTGCACCTGCTTTGCTGATGAATTTTTTAGAATTAACCTAACTGCTGTCTTTTAAATAAAATTGCAAGTAAGAATGAAAACAATAGTTCAAGGAAGATCCGAAAAACTTCAACTAAACTCGGCTAGAACAGTTGGAAACTCAACTTACTAAAAACAGTTCAAGAAACTAAAAGTCCGATAAAAACTGAAGTAGTTATTTCGCAAGAAAAAAAGTGTGAAATGGTACAAAAATAATGAAAGTAAGTTACCAATCCAGGGGGGAAAGATTCGTGGGAGCGTAAAAATTCCTTGTGATAAATTTAATTGGACACGACTGATCACGTGACAAGCGGTCATGGCCGACAATATTCAGAATGTGGCTGATGACTGAAGTGATATATCAAGGAAAATGTCCCATTGGAGACGCTCTTATGATTTTACCTGTACATCGGACGAAAATGAGTTAGATTCCTCGGACGACAGCGACTCAGATGGAGCATTTGAAGCTCCAAAACTCTACCACAGACGAAAGTCAACAGCGGCTGCAGTAAGCGCAAGGGTAAGTCTTAAAGTCAAGTCGTGCTTGAAGCAAAACTTGCAGAGCTAAAACTGCTGTGTTTGCTTACTAACTATCGCTTCAAAATCGAGGATTTTGGTTTTTCCATAGAGTGGTTAGCTCACTGTGGGATTGTCGATGCCTTGATCGGTGTAAGTGAGAATCTAGGTTGCGAAAACCACACTTGAATATTTGATGATTCGGTGGATTGCTCTGCTGAATGTTTACGAAAAATCTTAAATAAACATAGCTGGTTGAAAGATAATAATAGAAAAACCTCCAAAACTATACTTATTTTTACCTTTATTAATATATCTAGGCATGACTAAAAGCAATTGGAAGAATTCTTTGTAAAAGCGTTGTTCTGCAACTTTGAATTGATTGTCCTTTTACGATATGACACACAAAAACTTTCAATTCAGTTGGAATTTATCAGCTACAATTTTTAAAAGCACTGATAAATCTAAACTAATATTCGTTCCTTTTTTTTATTTCTTGTAATTTTTTTCTTTTAGCAGTTTATTACATAGTATATGTCTAAATGAGTGGCACTTTATAATTCTTAGTTCTCCCTAAGGCTCAAATCCATCTTTACAAGAGCTTGATTTACATCCAAAAGCTGAGTTTAATATTTCGGTTAATATACAAAGTCTTTTGACCCAAAAATCGATTCGAGCAGAGGTTAGTCTTGTATTTCTATTTCTAGTTTTCCTTTTTGCTTTTTGTTATTCTATAGGACATATTTTCCAGGCGCAGTTTTATTGCAAAGTGACAAAATCTAGTTTTGCATATGAATATGTTGTTAGGTATTTTTCCCAATTTCTACTCGCTCGCTTTATTTGGTCTGCTGTTTTTAATCGCACCGTTATTTCTATCGATACTCTAAGAAATCCAGTTCACTTGCTATTTCGTTTGGCTCTAGTTTGACACGCTTTCAAGCCCTGAGTCTGTTCTATTTTCTATTTCCTGGTGAAATTTGAGCACTGCTTCTTTTGCTGTTGGCTTGTACTTTCTCGTGAAGAATCAGATTGTAATTGCGCTTGGAAAGACGAAAACACCTGCGACTTGCCTTTTTGCGTCACAACTATTCATGACTAAATATGCATTTTCTCAAGGAATTGTCAAACTACAAAAATTCTACATTCGTTGAATTAATTATCGATGTGGTGACACTGGATATTTTTGTGGTAAGCCTTGTCAAATGAGCCCCAAACGAACGAATGGCTCTGAACCATTCTTCATATAGTGAATATCTTTAGCCATGGTAGTTATTATCAAGTAGCTTTACATTTCTTAAGCTTTACTCAACCTTTTATTGTACTGTGGTAAGACCACCTATAAGATTATGGACAGTGAGGTTAGAATACAAATACTTTTATACTAAGCTCATTAGCATAAAGAAAAAATGTTTCCCATTTTTCATACTTGAAAGCATTTAGATACCACTTCCCATTTTTTCACATGGATTTTTTTTAAAATGATGGAAGTTCAAATATAAAATCCTTTCTCTTGTAGCACTGCGTGAAGGAAGGACATTTGCTGAAGCAGTCTGGTTCATTCCAGGTAAGACTTAATTTACTTTCATGTTATTCCGCACTATTTTACTCACAAAAAAATTTCAAAAATCTTAATCTTATTTTGAACAATATCTAGACACATTTCCTCAAATCTAATCACGTTTTCTGCCATTTTTCACAGTTCTCGTTTTACACCTAAATTATGAATTTTGGGTATTCAATCAATTGAATCATTTCAGACATTAGAACACATATATTTACTATGCATGTGTATGTTATTAAAAATATTTTTAACTGAAAAATATTTTTCACTGTTTCATTAGTTTTTCCGATTTATAATGATTAGAATGTGGAATTAATCTTATGCCGTAATATTATTTCTGGCAGCGAAACAGGATTAAGTAAATAAAAAATTTTTTTTTTACTTTTCAATAATTCAAATTACATTTTTCTTTCGTAACTTGTATTTTATTTCAACTTATCCAATCTTGTTGCTTTTGTGAATGTAGCTAATATTATCATTAAACTCTTCTCTTGACATTATTTGTTCAACAGTTACAAATCTCTTAATTATTTCTATTTCTATCTGAATTTTCAGAGGTGGAAGAAAAGATATTTTAAGCTCAGAGAAGGAAAAAAATTATTTTATGCAAAAAACAACAATGTAAGTGTTTTTAGTAATTTTTGTTGTGTGCAAGTGTTTTTAATTGCATACTGCATCTAAAAAACATGTTGACTGTAGTTATTGGGATGCAAATTCTTCATAAATATTCATTCATCATCCATTCATTCATGAATTGAGACATTAGTGAATTTTACTAAATTGCAAATATATATTTAGCAGTATTAATGAAAAACTTAATTCATTTCTTAAAAAAACCTAAAATTTTATCGAACCTCTGGGCTTATCTAAGCTTGAAAAAGACACGGCTACCTCACAGATCAAATATTAGAGTTTAGCTGGGATCGGAATAGAGTATAGTGTGAAAATACTGTATAGTGGCGCATAAAGGAAAGTTAGGAGAAATGCCAGTTACTATCAGTGTGTTTTCCTATCTTCTTGAGTGCTTTACTATTCACCTTGTCTCAATTTTATGATAAAAGTAAAAGTTCCATTTTTAATTTTAAAGTTCAGATCTATACATGACAGCATTGACAGTCAGAATGTAGAGGTAGTGTATAGTGAACCTCATGGAAGAGCCTTGTACGGGGAGTGATGGTTGTACTGTAATATATAAGTTTTAGATTCCCTCTGTCATAGGGTTCCATGAGAACCTATATCTTGAAGATAATACTTTCATGAATAAAAGCAGTATTAAAAATAAAGCTGTTGGTGAATAGTCTAAATAAAATACACACAGTAAGAAATATAACAACCAGCAGTAGGCTTAGAAACTAAGCATGCAAATTTTGGCAAATTTATTTTTATTCTAGGAGTGTTAATTTAATCATGCTGCAGATGGTGAAACTCTGTCAGCATGACAGTCTGTTTTTATAGTAAAATTATATGAGGGCCAGTATTGTGCAAATCAAATGAATGTAAAGTCTGGTACGGAAGCTGAAAAGTCATCCTCTTACTTTCTATAAGTAGAGGGAAGCACGGGTGGTGTAGAGGTGTGAGCGTTCGCCTCTCATCAATGCGACCCGAGTTCGAGTCCCACCGGGTTCGGTGTTGTATATGAGTAGAGTTGTTGGTTGGTTCTCTCCTGTGCTTTGAGGGTTTTCTGGGTTCTCCGGTTTTCCTTCCTCCGCAAAAATCAACTCCTAAATTCCAATTCAATCATAAAATGAGGGCCACAGGTTTGTTAGCCACTGGCTATTAAGTGCTACCCTCATGAAAAAAAAAAGGACAGAGGCTTTGCTCATTATGTTGATTGACAATACATTTTGTACCTTGCTTTAATATAGGTATATGTGTAGACTATTCAAAGTTTTGTATATACAAGTACTAAAGGCCATAAGGGCCGAAGCATTTATTAGTGTTATAAAGTTTGGCCAGAAAGTTTTCAGACTTCCTTATTTATAGGAAAAATGAAAATTTGGGAAAAATTCATAAACATAAAAACAATAATTATTGTCAAAATTCTTCACTAGGATAAAGTTTGACCAGCAAGTGTTTAGACTTCCTTATTTGTAGGAAAAATGAAAATGTGTGAAAAATTTGTAATAACATAATATTGTCAATATTCTGTGAACTTAGACATTTTAATGGCTTTTCGTAAAACTTAGTTTTTTACTGCTGTCAATCAAAATGATGTAAACTTCTGATCTGAAAGTGAATGCAAATGACAAACTTTTGCTTAATAACATGTTGGCCTATTTCACTTTTGATAAGTCGATTAAGTCTGGGCAACGTTCTTATGGTTTTTGTTCAAAAGATTACATCATTTTGATTGACAGCAGCAGGAACCGATTTTACCACAAGCCATTGAAATGTGTGAATTGAGAATTGCATGACCTCAAAATGTATAATTTCTTGAGTACTATTTTACATTGGGAGCAAAATACATAGAAAACAATAACAATTTTGGTATTCGTAAATAAATTTAGAATCATACCATAATAAAATGCCACCTTGAATCAATAAAACTAAACTCATAAATCTCTTTTCTTTCTCTTAATACAGCAAAATACCATTTTTAATGAAATTGATCTTCAAGACGTTAGCGTAGCAGAAACTGGCATCAGGAATGCCAACAACAGTTTTACAGTAAGGTTTAATTTTTATCTATAAGATATTCTTATTTTGGACATTGAGTTAGATCAGTATAGTAATTATGTATTCACCCTGCTGGCTAGAGGCCCAGTTGTTGTAGTATTAATCTATCTTGTTGGGGATTGTGGATTTGACTCATGGTGAGGCCAAATTGAAAGGCCCTAGCATGACTGAGAGAGAGAGAGAGACCAGATGGCCTTATGTGATGGTGGTCCAATGTATAAAGATGATTAAATCCTTGTCCCTATGAGTATCATCATCATCAATGATATCACCATCCACAGCAGCAATATTTCATTGTTGGCATCATCACTTCTTCTTTCTTAGCTCCTCAAGAGTATTATTTATTATTTATCACCATTATCATTGTTATTATCATCATTGACATCACTGTCAAAATCATCATCTTTATCCATCATCATCATCATCTTTATCCATCATCATTATCATCATCTTCATCCATCATCATCTTTATTCATCATCATCTTCATCAATCATTGTCATTATCTTAATCCATCATCATCTTTATCCATCATCATCTTCATCAATCATCATCATATCTTCATCAATTATCATCATCATCTTTATCCATCATCATCATCAACTTTATTCATCATCTTTATTCATCATCATCATCGTCATCTATCAACATCAGCACTATTTTAATCCATATCCAACCTCATCATCATCATTGTTGTTCATTACAACACCATCATCATCCATTATCAACATTATCATCATCATTGTAATCTATTACCCTAACATCCACATCCTTTATCAACATTCATCATCATCATCTACTGTATGATCATCTATAATCATCATCTATCATCATCATCATCATCATTGTCGTTATCTGCCAACATCATCCAACCATCATCATCATCATTTTCACCTATCGACATCATCAATACATCTATCAACATCATCATTATCCTTTCAACATTCGTCTTTAACTCCTTGTCATGCATTATCATTTTCATCCCCATCACTATCAGGCACAATCATTACTGATTTTACCATCATTGATGCCAATTCAAATGTGTGTTATATTTCCCCTGGGATAGCTTCGTATATCAGGCTAACTTTACAATGTGTAGTTCCAAAAATTATCCATACCCCCCTAACGGAGGAATTTCTTAAAGACACCCCCTACCTCCCGGAAATTCCAATTTTCTTCCATACAAACTCTGTAATTTTTGTTTTTTCTCTGACCCCCTCACTCTTCGGAAATTCCAAATTCCTCTGTGGGGTGGGTATGGATAATCTCTGGAACTACACAATATCATAAATATGTATACCCAAACAAAAGAAAATGAAATAAAGGCAGTTCCGAATTTTACAAACCTTCACCAAAGGCTTGAAGATCTTACAAAAAATACTCTCAAAGAAGAAAGCTCTTTTTGATGTTGGCATCGCCATAATATCAGCTTTCTGTTTCAAGCACATCTGTAATCTGTCTTACTTGAAGACTGGTTTTTAAATCCATTTTTGTTATCACTCTCTAAAGGTGGTGGTCAGATCAAAAGATACCACAGCTGTGAAAAACATTTTGTTCATCATCACTTAAAAGAAAAAAGGAAAAGTCAAGTTCCTGCAGGCTTATTATACCACCATGAATTCATGTCAACTGTTATACTTTACTACCAATTAGTCCAAAACATGAAACTAATCTTACGTTTTTGGCGGTTTTTAATGCTTAAATGATGTTAGACATTTTGTCTGCTTTCTATAATTTTATTAGTGTACTAGTAATAGACTGACGCTGTTAATTGCCTTTTGCTGATGCCAAGTTTTCCTTCCTTGTACTATTTCTTATGATAACAAGACGTATGTCTCAGTGTCGTTGTTGTGTTTTTTTATGTTTATGATAGAACAAGGGTTTTTAGTCTTTGCGCTAATATTCTTTACATTATTTATTTTTGTGTTTGTTTTTCTTATTTTAGGTTATTACTCCTTATCGTAGTCTCGTGCTTTGTGCTGAAAGTAGGAAAGAAATGGATGAATGGTTTGGCTGTCTAAAAGCTCTTTGTAACCGAAGATCRACAGTGAGTATTTTATCTACAGAGACATGATATTCTATGCTATTGTCAAAGGAAGTTTTTCCAGGAATATTGAACAGGGCATGAAAATATTCAAATGAGAAAAAATAGAACTTAAGGGTATATCAGTCAAAATAAAGGCCAGAAAAAGGTATTTTTAGGAAGAAAAAATAACCTAACTGATAGAAAAGTCTGTCTTTTTGAAGTCACTGGATTCAGGTTAAAAACTATAGTTCATATCGTGAAAGCCAACAATACTATTAATTTATTAAACAATTTATTGAACTTTTTATCATACAATTTTATGATTTTTGAACAAAAATTTTCTAATATTTTCACTTCTCTTAAATTACAGACATCTTTTTTGGTTGGATTGTTTGTTTTTAAATTCAAGTGTAAAAAATGGATATTTATAATCAGTAGTATACTTCAGAATTTGTTTGAAAGATATTTGAAAAATGAAATAGATATAATAATTGCTTGTCAGTGAGTTGACTTCAAAGCAGAACAGACTATACCCATTTAAAGATAAGGGAAATTACGTAATAATAAACATTATTATGATATACAAAGGTCCGAAAGAGGCCTACAGGCTGGATTCATATAAAAGTTGTTTGTTTTGAGGTTTCCTGTATTTTTATTTCTTTTAGCAATCAGATATATTGGACCAGCTGACAGGCACACACAACTGGTACTCCTGTGCTCACTCCAGGCCGACATTCTGTAATGTGTGTAAAGATATACTCTCTGGTGTTACTTCGAAAGGATTGTCTTGTGAAGGTTAGTTTAATTCAACACAATGAATGGGAAAATAAATGGGAGAATTTATGGGAAATTTCCTTTCTTGTCATAATCTGTTCTAAGTGATATTTTATCTTGACTGAAACCTCAATTTTAAGATAGAAGGATAAACTTTGGACATCTTAAATGTTGGTAAATTGTGAGGTACTTAAAATGAGAAATGTGTATGTTCTGTGGGAAGGCTCATGGAAGATCAATTGAAATAGTAGTTGAGACTGTGGGATCATATTTGAAGCACTGAGAAAAATACGAAATATGTTTGAGTGGAGATGTTGTCTAATGCATCACTGTTATTGAGAGTGTATTAACAACATTTTTTCCCATTTGGTGGCCTGGAAGTCTATATTTTTGATAGGAAAAGTGACAGATTGTTTTGCAAATTTTCTTGATTCTGATTGGCAGGCATTTCTTCTTAGATCAGCTGGTTGGTTGACTGATGGCCTAGCTAAATGATTGGTTTTTTGGTTGGGCCGATAAATGAATGGAGGAATGAATGAAAAAAATGGAAATTGGCAGACTGGCTAACTTATTGGCCAACTGATGGACTAACTAAATGATTAGTTGTCTGGCTAGGTTAGGCTGCTGAATGAATAGATTAACAGAGGAATGAATGAATGAATGAATAAATGAAAATTGACAGACTGGTTTCTTTATTGGCCAACTGTTGGATAAAATGAATGTGTGGTAGTTTGTTGGTCCTATGAATGGGAAAATAAAGTGAATGAATGAATGAAAATTGACAGACTGATTGCTTTATTGGCCAACTGATGGATGAAATGAATGCCTCTTTGCCTGGTTGGCCCTCTGAATAATAATAAAAGAATGAAATTGAATGAGCAAACTGTTAGGAATTAAGCATAATGATTGCTCTTTAGTTTGCAGATTCAAAGTTCATAGACGATGTGCTGCCAAGGCTCCAAATAACTGCAAATGGACAACTATACAGTCTCTTAAAAGAGAAGAGTTGGAGTTTGATGAATCTGACCCTGTAAGTCGGTATCTTTGGATCATTTTTTACCGGTTGGGCTTCCTGTGGTGCCCTTGTCACACCACAGGGAGCCCAAACATAAGATGTTAATCTGTTAACCATCCTAGAGATGAATGCGTTTGGACTTCCCTAAGTTATCCATTTCCAATTTAAAAACCTCTCCAGAGCTACTAAGGTTTTCGTTATTCTGCAAACCCTGTATTTGCTGCTTGATGGCAGGAAGAATGCAATCATTTTATTTGAGAAAGAATTCAATGCCCAAGAGCAAAAGGAATTTATTGTTCTGCCATCTAACCACAGGAAGCCCAAGCTGTATTATTGCGCCGGCACGTGATGGTGCAAAACCTCTATTGTTATTTTTCATGAATTATTCATTAGTTTGATGATACATTTACATTTGTTTCCTTTAGATGTCGGTACCACATCAGTGGCAGGAAGGTAACTTAATACCAGGGTCCAGGTGCAGTGTTTGTGATCGGCAGTGTGGAAGTAAAAGACGATTACAAGACTTTAGATGTTTATGGTGTAATATGACAGTAAGTATAATAAGTACAAGTATTCAAAAATAATAAACGCAGTTCGTAAACTGAAGGTTTTACTTGACATGTTTTGGCAAAGCGTTTTCCATCTTCATAAGTACGAAGTTGATTTTTTTTATTATTTCCTCTAAATATTCAAACATAACATTGATTTATTTTTAGGTTCATTCGGCTTGCAAGCCTTCAGCAGCAACAAAATGTACGCTTGGTGAAAACGCATTATCAATTCTTTCTCCACTGTGCCTGGAAGGACCAATGGGACCAGGTCGATTAGAGGTATGTTATTCCTTTTCATTTGTTTTTTTTTGTTCGTCTGTTTGTCTGACCGTTCGTTCATTTGTTTGTCCGTTCCTTTGTTTGTGTGTTTGTTAATTCTTTCATTATGTTCTTTTGTTTAACAGGCATTTAAACCCACAGGTTTAAGTCCGTTATTGGTATTTGTGAATTCTAAAAGTGGTGATAATCAAGTAAGTCTTTAATACTGCAAATATTTTATGCAAAATTCATAGTTTTAGAAAATATCCAAATTCCTTTTGTAGATGAGCAGAGTAGGGAATAAAGTGGTATTAAACAGAGTTGAGGAGAATTGCGGGTATTTTCTATTACTCTTTTGTTTTGGGTTGAGAACTTTTACTGCTCATGTAAACCAGTCATAAATCAATGGTTCAATCCATCAATCTTCTTTCTCAGGACTTACAATGAATCCTGAAAGTCTAATAGATCTATTTAGATTGGGTGTTTGTTTTGCCCATTTCAGACCATGTACCATTTCTTTGAAAATAGGATTCTTTGTTTTATTTGCATCCAAACAAAGAAATGATACTCAGGGGAATGACACGTGGTCTGAAATGGGTAAAACGAATGCCCAATCTAAAGAGGTGTATTAAGTTGATATAGCATTGCAGTTATCCTATAGATGCAATCTTTCTTTTTGCTTTTCAAGGGTGTTAAATTTATTCGAAAATTCAAGCAATTATTAAATCCTATTCAAGTGTTTGACCTTGGAGTAGGAGGACCTCAGCAAGGGTATGATTTCTGTCTTGATGTACTGTATTCTCTTTGTATTCAAGGGAATCCAACCTTTGTTGTGTTTTGATTATTCTGTGTTGATTTCTGTTTCAGGATTCAAATATTTAAACAATTCAGTCGGTTTCGTATATTAGTGTGTGGCGGAGATGGATCAATAGGATGGGTCATGAAGGAAGTGGATAACATGAATTTAACTAATAAAGTGAGTTTTGCTGTCTTACTTACATCTTACATCTATGCAACACCTAGAAATTTTGCAGTATATATCATCATGGTCAAATTACAACATTTGTGAATTCTTACCCAGCAACTGCTATAAATACTTATGTAGAACTTATTATTATTATTATTATTATTATTATTANTAGAACTTATTATTATTATTATTATTATTATTATTAATATCATTATTCATTTACATATCTATCTTTTTTATATTATTCTTATTAGCTATAGATTTTTATGTTGTGTCCTCAATTAGCTCTACAGCTAAATATTTTGACTCATTAATACAGTGTAAAGTTATTATTATTATTTTATTTATTTATTTATTTATTTATTTTTATTTCTATTATTATTTTTATTTTTATTATTATGAATTTAATAAACAGTATGCATTGTGGTCTATGCCATCCATGCAACCCTAATAACTGTATCACTCTAATGCTGCAATTGCTCTTAATTTAGGTTCAGATAGGAGTTTTACCTTTGGGCACTGGGAATGATTTATCAAGAGTTCTTGGTTGGGGAACAACATTCACAGATGACAGTGCTGTTCCTCAGTTCTTACAACATTTAGAGAGAGCTAAAGCACTTATGCTTGACAGGTAAACATCAGTTGAAAAAAATTATGATAAAAAATGTAATGCTTTTAGCATTTAGTTAGGGTGTAAAGCTTTCCCATTACAGACTTCATATCATTCCCTATTTAAAGGATTTTTTTGTTTAATGGCTGCACCTGAGAAGACACATGAATATAAATACAACTCAAACAAATAAGTTTTTTTCTCAGGAGAAGGTCGTGGGGTTCCGAAATGGAAAAACATTACGCAAAACTGTCAGGAAAGATTTGGAAGCATTGTTTCCATGTGTCTTTGAAGCATGAAATGTTTCTGCCTCACAGCAAAAACATTTTTCGTGTCTTGGAAGCAAAATTTGTTGCACGCAGCAGTGTTTCGCAATGTAAAACTGGGAAACATTGGGGAAACATGCAAGGGGTAAACATGTTTCCTCGTTTGGCCAGGGCCTAAGAGTCTTTTTTGCAAGGCTCCACTTAAACAGGGCTTCTGACAGGATGCAGAAAAAAAATTGAAATTATGCGGGATTTTTTTCCAGATTATGCGGAGAAAATGGCAAATTATAAGGAATAGGATGCGGGATGATGTCACAATCGAAAAAATTTCTGAATTTTTTTTTACAGGATTATACACGTTTTTTTAAAATTTTGCTTCTTTATTTAACTCCAAACTTTGTTTAACTAAAGTTTTACGCAATTATTTACAGTTTTACATTGATTTTGCTCCTTCATTTGACACTGGCCTTGTTTATCTCAGGTTTTTAATCCACACATGTAATCGTGGTGTTTTTCATTACACACTGACGTATGATTCAATATACAGTTTAAACGCTGTTTATATTGCTGGAAAGCTATAAAAAATCCGTAAATTCATCAAAATGAGAAAACATTATAATACATTTCTTCTTGATTATTTAGTTTTCTTTAGATTTTTGACGAATTATGCGGGATTTTGCCGGATTATGYGGAAATCGTTAGATTGTGCGGAAAATGGCGAATTATGCAGGTCCGCACCCGCGCATCCTGTCAGAAGCCCTGCTTAAAATACCACTTCAGTGAGACAGGTTCTGACAGCTGTTAAGTCATGAAGTGTTGTCATTAGATGAGAATTTCAGGTTCTTTTGTTTTTTGTTTAGGTGGAGCATCATGACACAGGAATGTAACCCTACTCTTCCTCCATCAAGAAGTTCATCTATAGAAGGACTTGATTCTCCTGTAAGTTGCTCCTGTAGGTTTGACTTGGCAAGTTCCAATTCATGCCAGGCATTGTCCAATGAGTGGCCATTATTTTAAGCCCTGAGTTACAAAAATTGTTTGCCAAAAACCTTTTTTGGAAAGATAATTATCCAATGGGTTATTGTTGCTAAGGAAATGGTGACTGATTCTTGATCAATGGTTTGCTACCTTTGTTTAACTTTTATTCGTTGTTTTTTAAGTAGGTTGTTTGCATGATGGCATCATTTACTACCACAACCCAAATTTGTTTTTGCTCATGAGAATAGTAAGAAAATTGGTGCTAATTAACTAAAGAAAAAAGTGTGCAAGGGATTCTGGTAGTGGTAGGCTAATAAATGAGGTTATAACGAAAGTGACCTATTTGCATTCGTCTCGAAAAACAAACTGAGCAAACTAGCACCTGCTACATTGTTCCAATGAATTTTAATATTTGTACCGCACACAAAATCTAAATGCACAACACAAGTTAAAAATTAATTTCATGTCTTTTTCTTTCATTAACAGATACCTTACCAACAGGAATTTGACAACATGTACATGTTTGAAAACAATGTTGCCGCTCATCTTACTCGAATATTACACTCAAGTCAGCATCACACTGTTATATCATCAGCAAAGTAAGCAAAACCATCTCTATTACTACTATCTATAACCTCTCTTCTTAGTATCCCAATGATGGGGTGTTGGAGAGGGGGAGGGGGAGGGGGAGGGGAGAGGGGGATTTTGGTTCATTCCCTTGAGTATTATACAGATTTGCTATTACTACTATCTATAACCTCTCTTCTTAGTATCACAATAAATCTGTGGGGTTTTGGACAGGGGTGAGGAGGGGGGAGGGGAGAGGGGGATTTTGTTTCATTCCCTTGAGTATTATACAGATTTGCATTTGAAGATAAATTATTTAATATCAAAAATTGAGGGAATGACGAATGGTCTGAAATGGAAAATGATGATTAAATCAATTGCTGGGTTTCAATCAGACGATGAAAGTCTTTGAATTTCCTTTTATGATCTAGCTGGTGGTCAAACACTTACCACCATGTGCTGTCAATTAGAAAGAATTGAATTAAAAATTTGTGATTCAGCTGTTGAACATTCTGCACAGAACAGTAAATAACATCAAGTCAAGCCCAGCAATTGTAAAGTAATTTGGGGTATGCTAGCTGTACTGAACAGTCCTTGTCATTATTTTCTCCAGAGTGTTATGCGAAACTGTCAAAGATTTTGTCTCCAAAGTTGGAGCAGCTTCAGCAAGTTCAGATCCAGAGGAAGCAAAAGAGCCAGGGTCACTGGCACAAAAAGTGAGAAAAATGAATGAATGAATATACTTGACTGAAGGGGAATAATGGAAATTATAAAATAACTGTTATAAAGCCTGTGTTCTGATTGGTTGGGAGCGAGTGCTATATGAGAGCACACAGCACATGCGCTCACTTTCAGTTGCGTCATTCCTATTCAAAATAATGGTTATTGTAATATGTATTTTATAAAAGAAATACTTCCATGTTGTGTGCAGTTATAAATCGCATTTGGTTTTTTTTTTCCTGGTTCTCTGGTAACCCTCTCCTCCACAAAATCAGCTTCAAAATTACAATTTGATCTTAGGAAATATTCTTGAAAGGGCCAGGCTCATGCCGAATGCCGAGCCAAAGCTAACAACATCAAAGAAGACTGCCTTGTTATCCATTGTTTCAATATTAGGTTCGGCTCAGGTGAAGTTTGACGTTTAACCTGAGCCTTAATGCCTCATATCTCTTCTTGGACCATAATGCAAGTAAATATTGGTTGTGATAATTCCAATGTTTTTGAATTTCAGTGTGAAATACTGAATGAAAAGCTAAATCTTCTACTAAAAGCACTGAGCATAGAATCAGAAGCCTCACCTCCCCCAGCAAAAGAAGAGATATCAGATTTGTCAGAGAATAACTCTGTCAATAATAATGGAAAGACACAGAAAGTGTTTGTTCCCCGTGAAGCTTTGATGTCACGTGCTAACAGTCTGAAAAAAGCACTCAAGCAAATAATACAGCACACTGAAACAGGTAGGGAGAAAAAAGATGGATGGATAGATGGATCTGAGAAATAGTGGAAAGGAGGGAGAGGGCTGAGAGGGAGAGGGAGAGGGAGAGGAAGAGGGCTAAGAGGTGAGTAGATGGAAATATTTTTTTTAATAGGTTGAGCCCTATATAAATTATTATATTATTTAAAATTAAAAATATGAATGGATAGATGGATGAATCAAAGCTGGATGAGTAAGTGGGTTGAAAGATCCATAATGGATAGTGGAAGGGATAAAAGATGAAAGCCCAAACAGGGTGGAAATATTTTTCAATAGGTTGAGCGCTATATAAATTATTATTATACTATTTAAGATTAAAAATGTGGGTTGATGGATGGATGAATCGAACGTGGATGAGTAAATGGGTTGAAGGATCCATAATGGATAGCGGAAGGGATAAAAGATGAAAGCCCAAACAGGATGGATGAATTGAAGGATTAAACATGGACAAAGGAATAAATAAATGGATGAGTAGGGAGCAAAGATGGATATACAGATGAATTTGAGTTTAGTTAAATTTTATATATGTAACTCTGATTGTAATTTCAAGTTATTTCTAAATAAACAATTGTAACAAAGCAAAAAGAATACCAGGTGAAGGGGAGTTGGATAGACAGACCGTCAAATAAATGGACAGACAGACAGACAGACTGAGAGAAGGACAAGCAGACACATTAGATGGATGAATAAAAAGATTGTCATTATCTTGAATCATTTCTATTCATATTCACAGCTGTAGATGAACAGAATGCTCGAACAAGTCCTTCAACATCGTCTCTAGCAAAAGCCATAGTAGAAGGAGCAACGGCAGCTGCTGATGAAGTAGTGACAACCTCTTCATCAGCCCCTGTTTTAGAATCTGTACTAGAGAGTACAGCGGATCAGGAACTAGAATCAGGTATGTGGCTTTCGATAGCAAATATCGTAATGCCAACGATTGTTGATCACATGGATAGCGTGCTATCGAGTTAACCCATTAGCAATAAAGAGGGTTGATCAATATCACGGTAATTACCGATCAAATAGGTCAGGCCTGCTGATGACCAAAGATAATGCTAGCTTAATCACCAGAATAGCGTGTGATTGTGATAGTGTGTGTTTAACGTATATAGGTGGCTAGCGGGCAGACAACAAAAATATGGAAACTTTGGCTATCGTAGACTATTTGCTGTTACACAGATCTACATTACACAGTGTAAATTTTCCTAAATTTCATTTAACCACATATATTAGTGATCAGTGAAATTAAATACAGAAATAGGAATGAGTTAAAAACAATTGTCATCTTACAGGACCTGTTTTAAAGAGGTGAGATGGGGTTACTGAACATCCAGCACCTCTGGAAGTACAATACTAGAATTTAATACTCCCAAAATGTGAGCATTTTCAAAAAAAAAAGAAAGAAAGAAAGAAATTAGGAAATGTTTTACAAAAATTTGTTTGACTCATTTTTGCTAGAGCTTCCAAGCTATCTTGATGTCAATCCCATAGACAAGCTACTATCAGAACCAGACAATGACGTAGCAGTTGACATGCAGGCCTCCAATAACCTATCAGCAGCACCAGTCAGTCGTAGTGATGCCAGATTCTTGAGCCGAGGTAGCTCTTACCCCTATCAATATGAGCCATCTTTCGATGACCTTCTAGCAAAGCAGAGCAGCAGTAAATCTACTGTACAGTTTAATTCCTGTATAATATCCAAAGCATTTCTGAAGGACAGACCCAAGGATAGTATTGTAGGGTCATTGATAGGAAAAGCACTGCTTGCTAATGCAGATGCTTTGTGTGCTGCAGCTACTCCTATGATGAATACTATATCAGATGTGTAAGTAATTATTTTGGCCTATGACATTTTGGGGGGGGG